CAATATCCCATACCCCCGCGCCGCTCCCGAGACCGCTTTCCCACGCCGCCGGCTCACACCGCTGCTCCGCTTCGCCGTCTCGCACTGCTACCTCGCACCGCTACCACGTGCCGCTTCCGAAAATGTATGAATTTTTAAACTAGCTCGCAAATCCCTTTCCACTAAAGCGGAGCGAAGATTTCATGCAATCCTATTGGCTAATATTTCTTCGTTTCTTCGCTCCGCTGCCCCTCTCCGCGACAATGGACTGGCAGCCTTAAGTGCTGTAATGTATACCTCTACCAACCCCTTAGGGATTAAGGGCGTGATGTTATGTAATAATGCTGATTTTTAGAGCATAACCTAAAACGTCGCGCGAAAAGGTAGACAAAAGGCACGTCGAAACGTATTTCACTTTCGAGGCCTTTTTTGAGGTAGGGAAATGATCCAAGGACTCATCCGGCCAGGGTTGAAACGATAGAGAGTATCAAACTCTTACTGACTGAAAACTGTCACGTTCTTACTCCTGCTTTGAGTCGGAGCCCGGTAACCCGCTAGTTATCCACAAAGTGACGCTGACGTCACAAATAGCTTTGAATTCTTTTTCCATTGTGGACCTTGGTCAAACGTTCTTTAATCAAAGTTCGTTTTTTGCCGGTGGCCTAACCCCAACAAAAGACCGGTAATGCACTCCTTCAGTCTTGCGGTTGTCCATAGGCGGCGTTGGTTTCCTAACATAAAAATCCCAATAATAGACACATCTATTAGTTCGAAAACACATTAACCTAGTTAACTATCTAAAGTATATAGTTTCCTTCTTCAACATTTAGTTGTTTGGGAATTCCTTCTATATTAACTCATTTAATTTAAAAAACGTGAATGCATGCAAGGCTACGTCAACAAATAGCCACAATACTATTTACATACTACCTCTACTTACTCTTATATTGATCACAGCAAACACGGTGACCAGTTGCCAAAGGTGCTAATTGGTGATGATGGAATCCCCACGGTTGAAAAACATAAAGCAAGTAGGCCGGTCTAAGGTTCACTTCACAGCATTGGCCCGATGTTAGGGCTTACAACATCTTGACTATTACCCACACAGATCACTCTTGCAAACAAAGAAAGTTCAAAGAATTTATAAACCTCACAACGACTACAGTCTTTAGAGAAAGGTAGATTATTTTGAAGATAGTTCCACATTGACATCTCTTTTTATTCTATCTAGAAAACTATTGTTTTAGTCCATTTGTTTATTATATTTGCACGGACACGAAACAAACACTTTTTATATGTTCTTTATTGACACTGAGTCATTATTTTCGCGCTAATCCTTAAACTAGGTTTCAAAGCTAAGTTATTTTATGTGTTTAAGAAAATTATATTTTACTGCTAGATATAGTAAACCTTTAAGTCACGATTGTCTGTAACGGAATGAAAGGAATAACCAAGCAATGACCATTTTAATACAAAATAATACTTATTTTATATTTGTGAATTCCATGATTTATCAGTTTGGTGCAAAATTAAAAACCCAACCAATAGGGATTTCTCGACGGATTCGTAGCTGTTAATTATTAAGTTGCGGTCATGTTACTGAGGTAATATGCCAAGTTGGTGGTCATTATCACCTTCCATTCTTGGTTACTAGTCAATTTATTTAGAAGCTAGAATAGGACAGAATGTTTAGCATGGAACTTGATGCTACGCAATGCGTTGCAGTTTCGATTCACGCAACAATGGGTGTTTTTGTAGTTCACACGTTGTTGTTGCAGGTAACATGGGTGGTAATTAAAAGTATAGCAACGTTTTGAATGAAATTCGTAATCAATTTTCGTGTGTAAACAAACATGTGTACCTATACCATGACATACATACATACATTTACGTCTTCATACCACCTTCAACTATCCACTAATGGCCGAAAATAATAACCGATCTCAATTTTTAATTAGTTTTGTGGAATTTCTGTCAAACCCATGGTTGGTTCATCGGTTCATTAATTGGATGGATATAAAAACCCGATCAACCATTCTTTGCTTCTAAAACGGGCTCACACACACCGACAAAAAGATTAAATATAAGTAATTAAATATAATTAAATAATGATTATGTGCTCATTATATTGTAAAGGGCTGGTTGCAATCCAGTTTAATGCAGTGATAACCAGATGACAATGTGATAACTGATAACTTTAGAGATGCACTCGTAAAGAGGCGGAAGCTTAGTGCATGATAATGATGATACAGTGATGTAGTTCAAACAGGTCAACCGAACCTAGCTTACTAGGTTAAACTAATTGAAATATCTTAATTATGTCATACCTAAGATATTGGTCTGCTAGGACATTATTATGTTCGTCTGCTGGAATAAAATTTTGTATCCAATATAAGGTCGGACTAAATATAATTAGATTTTTATCTACTTACTTCATATTTTATTATCAACAACTCTCTATTATCAGAAACATCTCAGCAGGATATTTAGAAAAAACTAACGGCGGTCTGATACTTTGTAAAATCTTCATACAAATAGTAGATACCTAATTATCGCGAGATAATCTCTGGCCACCGTAAGCACGGGCCTGCGGACAGCGAGAACGGGTAACTCGCCGCCCGACCAGAACCAGACCCGTACGGCGGCGGCGCGCGCCTCAAAGAGCCTCAAAAATAGAAATATCTTTTGGTGATCTGATGGCTCCCAATAAGGCTAATGTCGATACAGAGCCGAGAAGGACTTAACGGGTTGCCGGGACTCCAACTCGAAGTGCAGGAGTAGCAACGGGGTGGGTTTTAGTCAGTAAGAGCTTGACACTCCCTCCGCCTCACTCGGACGGGAGAAGTCGGATAACTTAATTGATGTTCAAATACTCGTATCTAATTGTAATAAAATCAGTGTGTTTTGTTTCTAATATTTTCTTTACCTTTTTTTTATGGCATAAGCAGATAAACGAGCAGACGGATCACTTGATGGTAAGCAATCGGCGTCGCCCATGGACACCTGGAACACCAGAGGCGTTACAAGTGCGTCACCGTCTTTTTGGGGATTAGGAGTTTGATTGGGGAGATTGGGGAAGGGGAAGGTAATTGGGCGTCCGGTAACCTCAATCACACGACGAAACACAACACAAGCGTTGCTTCACGTCGGTTTTCTGTGAGGCCGTGGTATCACTCCGGTCGAGCCGACCCATTCGTGCCGAAGCATGGCTCTCCCACACTTAAAAACCTACCAAGCCTTCTAAGAAGTTTCAGATACTTGGAGCGATGGCCTTTTGTCTTTTTACGAGTAAAAGAATATGTCCTTGAATTTACCCTTTCTTATTACGCTTGCTAACGTAAATCACCACGGTCGTAGATCATTAACTGATAACAAAGACAAAAAGAACTTATTAACTTATATTCAATTTTACGTATAAAGAATAGAAACAAATCTTATTAGAGATATTTCGGTACTGCGGAAATAAGGACCAGAGGTAATCGTGGTCCTTTGAGTCGATATCATGGAAGGAGGTGGAGAATGTAGCCCTCATCATTTAGTTACTGTATTCTTTCAAACTAAATATTAAATTTTTTAAACGATTTAACCGTCACAGCATGAACTCTAACGGTTAAAATCAAATTCAATCGTATAACAAAAAATTTTTAGAGTGTATTTAAATTTTCTTAATTTTGCTTCCATATTTGGTATAACTGATAGATACAGTGGAACCATCTGGATCTAAAACTTTTTAAACAATAAAGGCGTGTCGCCTTATCATATCAGATAATTAAAGAAAAAAAACATCACCCATAGTGTGATTCTCATCTAAAAATAGTACAAACATCAGTCGACGGCAGTGTAAACAATAGCTAAGTATAACGTGATTTATATAAATATCTGCAATTTCGTTGTAAGATATAAATACACGAGTATCTTGCGTACATATCACATATTTACTAAGCTATGAAAGTACGGGATTCCCAATTACGTTTCGTCTCTATTTGAAACCGTGACAGTCAGTTGAAAGATGTCGCGGAAAATCACCCCAGACGAGGTTTAGTAGCATGTTATAGAATAAATATTTGTTGAAACTATAATTGTCACTATATTTACATATTTCTTTTTCCATTGAAGTATTCTAGTCTTAGTGGTAAAGAATTTTGAGTTAGAACTAATCCAAAATCGTTGAAATTTATAAAAGCCGAATCTGTAATGCAATGTCAAAATCTCCAACAGTCGTATGTTAAATCTGATTTGTATGAATTTATGTTTTTGTATTATCTTGGATTATGAGCGAATCTTAATATATATATAATCAAGCATCTTTAGAGGTTCGTTAAAAAATTAAAATATATTTTACTTTTCTTTTTTCGTCACATTATTGTAAGAACGATTAGTAACGGTAACTCCCTACAGTTGCCTATCAGTAGCGGGTTAATTACATACATTAATATACATACATAACTTTATTTATAGCTATGTATGTATTTATAGCTACATCATCATCAACAGCATCTTCTCGTCCACTGCTGGACATAAGCCTCTCCAATGGCACGCCACTGAGCTCGGTCTTCAGCTCTACGCATCAAATCACTACCAGCCACTTTGCGGATATCGTCATTCCACCTAGCTGGAGGACACCCTACACTACATTTGCCCAGACTACACATATATTTAGATTAGATAGAATTATACAGAAAACCTGCACAGAACAGGTGGTGAACTCCGATTTAAAGTCGGGTCTTAAAAAAAGGTCATTACTTTTATTACGCTAGAAAATATTGGTGTCTTACATATTTGTGCTAAACTTGTGATAAGAAATCTACCACAATCACCACTACCTTTACCGTTACCGCTTCCGCTGTCGCTCCCGCTCCGCTCCCGCTCCGCTCCCGCTCCGCTTAGCACAAACTCCGCAGCCTAAATAGTGGCAGCCAGTCAATGGCGTAATTTGTAAATATCGTATTTACTACGACACAGGTTGTAGATATATTTATACTAAGTATTAACTATATTTTGTATAATAAATAAATACTTACATGGTGACTTCTTTTCTTTAAATAGCCAGGTAGGTAGTTAGAGATCATCTTGAAATCATTAGTTGAGTAGTTGTAAACAAACCAGGTTAGAAGCAGCTGATTTTGAAAACATTGGCGAAGGTCTATGCTCAGCAGAGGATATCTTGCGGCTGACATGATGTGGATGGTGAAGCGCACCTGCAATGCATGAAGATTCACGTTCAATCTTAGGGTAAAGAAATACGGTTTGAAGATTAGCAATTGTGACGTCATTGTACGGTATGACTTGTGACGTTAATTTCCGTACGGGGAAAAAATTTTATACTCACCCTTATTGATGTGTTTTCTATACCACGACGGTGGGAAAAAAAGCACACGGCCCACCTGATGGTAAGCGGTTACCGTGGCCTATGTACGCATTTAAAATTATATTTAAATTTCAGGTATATAAACGTAAACCTGTAGTCTGGTTGTGGCTAATATTAATCTCTAACGTACATCCTCTTCTAAACGAACCCGTTGATTCAAAATCCTTGCTTGCTTTTAAAAAAATAAAATTCCTTCGCCACCATTTTGACATGCGCCTAACAACAGCTGACGAGATGCACTAATCACCAACCTGTTCGAGAAAATGCAATCATTAATACACATTTGACGTCAATGTTGAACAAATACAGTACACAAATAAAGTTACCACCTTCAAATATGACCGTTAGTAGAAAAAAATGTTTTCGGTAGCTACGCTACATTCAAGAAAGTTCGATGACGTCACTACTGCTATCGTGAACACATCACGCATTTTTTATCTTACTATGTCCACATTGCAATATGCACATTAAGATTTTGGACTTATATTTACTTTATGAGCGACTATTTTTGTGACATCTAATCATTCTATTTACCTGTGTTATAGTAATCTGAAAATCTGTGAGGATTATCCACTTATGTAAATCATTTCCTGATATATTTACACAATATCTGCCTCGTTGGCCGAGTGGACGCAAGTGCGACTGCCGGGCAAGGGGTCTCGGGTTCGATTCCTGGGTCCTAGTACTACAAGGTTTTAAAAAAAATCTCAGTGGTAGCACGGAGTCTAGAATTGTGCCCGGTATATGGCAATAGGCTCTTCCACTATTACATGGGACTCATAACATAAAAAGTGAAAAGTGAGTGTTACATTGTACAGTGGCATTAAGTGCCGTAATGTGCACCTCAGCCTACACCCCTTTTATGTTGTGTTATTTACACAATATTAAGGTACCTACGGTTCTTTGTACTAGATGTTTCATTTAATATGATGAGTGTAACGAGAAAGTTTTGAGATCGATTCAATATGTGGGGTAAATTGATTCATCGCCAGAAATCATGCTGTGTGAACACAGCAATGAATAGTGTGATGATTCTACTTGATGTCTGAAAATAGTCTTATCCTGGTTCCAGTTCCTTTTATATAATTAAGGAGTCTTAAGAGTACTGAAGACTAGTACCAAAAGTACAAGGCTTTGACTCGTCGTCAACCTCAGGGACAAATTGAGACCACAGGCGACTCAAAGAGCCACCACAAATGGGGTCCAGTAGGACTGATACCCGACCCAGAGCTGAACTTATTTTGCGGGTTACAAGGGTTCCAGCTCGAAGGTAGGAAGGTAGGAACTGGGTGGTTTTTGGTCAATAGGAGTCTGATACTCCCTTCCGCTCACCCAAGATGGGAGAAGCCATTGAATGATTCACCCCCTCAAAAGAAGGTTAGTTAACACATCATATGTGAGATATCAAAAATTTGTGGTTCTGCAGTCAAAGTTTTGAAATAACCTCTCATTTACATACTTTGTATTTTATTACATGATAATTACCCATATCAACTGATTCTAGGGAGGACACGCCTCCCAAAATCTTACCACAATCAAGGTAAATAAAGTAACCACAAAAACATGCTATTATTAATGTCGTCATAACACTTTATATGTGAAAAACAATAGAAACTGTAAAGTACATCATAACAAGAAGTGTTACAATAAATAACAGGGCCTATCTCACAACAAGAACACATATTTTGTTAGTTCGGTAACTGCGTAACATTAGCTCGTCCTTCGGAGTTCACTGACATAAACAACAGTATTGTTCTAACCTAGGTAAGGTATGTGTCGTGCTAGGCGATAATATCTGAAGCGATATATAATGTTTCGTTGAAGTTTCTGTCAAGAATATAGGTTCTGCTGCTATCTTAGGTACTTCTGTCGTTACGGTGCCCCGCTTCTTAGAAACCAGACAAATCCCAATGAGATTTTCCAGGTTACAACTATTTAAGTTAAGAAATAGAAAGAGCGAATAGTTTTTGGACCCGGGAATCGACAATGAGCAATTGCTTGTAGGCTGTGAACTAGCGAGAAACCTCTGAAAGCTATAGGTTCCATTAATTGCTTCCTCCAGCCTAGCAGTTATCGTTTACACCGAAAGGACCAAATTAGTCCTTGGTATCGTAAACTATAGTTCCTTTACAGGACCTACTAGAACTAACATAGTGACACAGAATATACTACCTTTAAAACCTCTGAATTATGTAGGTATAGCTTTCATTCTTAAAACGGAGTCATTGTTTGCATCAAAAGGACCAAATGGGTCCTTGGTATCGCAAATCATAGGACACAGAGTTCAGTACACCACCAGCTAGATCTTCTGTATAACCAGAGATTTGCACCAGACCCCCCGGACGTGATACCCGTACATATTTACCCAGTAAATATGCGAACTAACAGTGTTATCAGACTACGTTGTAAATTATATGATGCAGTATTTAAATGGACATGTTTGGCATTATCTCTGTGTTGCCAAGGAGCCTTAAAATATGGAATTCGGTTAATTATGGAATTTTTCCGCTCGGGTCACGGCCGTTGGGTTAGTGATTTATTTTTAGACTAGTTTTCAGTTTTAGGTTTTTTTTTAGAAAAACTTAATTTGTTTTATATCTTAAGTTCTTGTGAATAACATTTTTTTTTTTAAGTTTAGGTCACTAGAATAATTAATAAGACAACATAGAGAAGAGAAAAATATTTTAAGTTTTATTGATTTAAAAACGACTCTACTGAAATATAGGGGAAGGACCATAAGAATAATTGGGTCTTTGATCACTACTTCATTTCCCTCATGAATTATTTACGTAAATATAGACTTTGACCTACGTAAGATGACGTGTTGGACATTATTGTGTGTACTAAGAAGAAATGAACAAATTCAGGTACAGACAGGTAATTCTGCTCCTCCTCTCTCCGTAATCTCTTGTCTGCCGGTATATAAAACGCAATAGAAAATACATTGTATCTCGCGTAAATCTGCACACCACTGCTAATGGGAATGTAAAATTATAAATAGATGCAGGTTACTTCTAACTGGAAAACCTAAAATTCATCAAGGCAGACCTATATCCAGCAGTAGATGTCTTATGGCTGATTTGACGATGATTTTGATAACTAAAATAATGCAAGCAGTCAATTCATTTGTATTAATTTTACTGTGATGAAAAGCAGCTTAATGCAGTATCGGATAGTTCTACATTGTTGCTTACCTCTAAATACCAGACATAAGTGTACACACAAATAGACAATTATATGAACTAGTTTAAACCGGTATATAGTAAGTTATAGTATTACTGAAACAGGTGCAAATTAGTTATTAAACTTACTGACTTACACGTGGTACCTACAGAAATTTCCTAGGCAAGTTACAGTATAGCAAGTTCTATCCGGTGTATATTGTCTGTTGCGGATTACAAGTACTACCAAGCATTGTTAGTACGATCAATATTACAGGATTGCATATCATCTTCTTAATAAATGGTGTTAATGAATTGTAGCATTTGAGTATTTTGGTTTTGTGTGTGAAATCACAATTAAGTATATGAGTAAATCTGAGTTTTAAGCGCTGTTCTGTCTACAGTTGCTCTCATGGTTGACTGGTTGTGTTATACGAATTTGAAATATATTTTGGCCTCATTTTGTATGAGGCTTGTGTCAAAATTCTATCTCTAATAAGCAAATTCAATAGGCCAAGAGAGTGTTAAGGACAGCAGTATGATTGCACGTATATTTTAGTGCCACTACAATTCTATCTAGTGAAATGGATCTGTACAGACGCCATTTGACATTCTCACGAGACAAAGATATTTGTATAATATAGAGTAGATTAAAGCTAATAAAATAAATATAATAAACTTTTTCTAGACATTTTCGTTCATTAGATACAGGAACTACTGTTTCAGTATAAAAAATAGTGCCAGTATATCTATATCTATATAATTATATAAAACAAAGTCGTGTTAGTTACACCACTTAAAATTCAAGAACGGCAAAATAGATTTAGCTGAAAATTAGTAGGGAGGTAGCTTAGAGCCAGGAGACCGACATAGGATACTTTTTAACCAGTACTGTTTTTTACTTTTTACCGAAAATCACGAACGGGGACGGGAAAAATGGGATTACGCGTACGAAGTCGCGGGCAGAAGCTAGTTATAAAATATAAGCAAAACAGTTCAAATAGGTCTCTAAAATAATTAAGGAATATTAACTGCTTTCTCGAAGAGATGGGTAGATTTGATCACACATTTTTACCTATTTGTAGTAAGATCCTTCCATAGTCAGAAGGAAAGGTTATGAGACATATTACAGGTACTATTCTAGAGCCACAAGCTAATCTATAGACCCGTGCACGATCTGGGAGGCTAAATAATGCAAATAATCTTATACTGGACAATTACGCTTGTGGCCCCAAAATAACCGAAATAAGTTTCGTAAATTTTCCAAAATGAAATGCAAATAATTCTGATAGACACCTATCGCCCACCAGCAACTAAAAATACACAAAAAATACACAGGAGCCATCAACTAGACATGCGGATTAAAAGACCAAACAATCGTACTATATTTACCAAAGGCTACATTCTCCGCAAATAGCCCACAACAAGCTATCAGTGTACTTAGGTACACTTTCTAAGAGGCTGTAATGATGACTACGAAAAAGAGATAAATTTGTGACGTATTTCACACAATATATAAGGACGGGAGACCAAGATACAGATACTATTAGGAGACGCAAGTACGCCAAGCAAGCAGTGTGTGGGATCGGAATTAATTGACTAAATTATTACAATAGATATTGGATATTTTTGGTAAGGCTGCACTGCATATTAAGTGGAATTTTATAATAAAATTATATTTACAAAAAAAAAATTGACTTTTTTGTCTGAAGGAGAAGATTATATGAAAAAGTCTCCACAATCATAAAATAATGTTTTTTAAGAAGAAAAATAGCCGTGACTAGGTGACAAATTGAACTCTAGTCACACGCTCACACAATAATTATAACTCTTGAAAGAAACAATATTATTAAACAATCTTTAGCGATTAAATTCACCAACTGTAGTCAAATACTTTATAGTTTATATTCTGCCTAATTATTATTTTATTCAATTCGTACTTCACTTAAAAAAAAACAAGCTCATGCCTTTTTCTAAATTGTACATAGTACTGGAGTTATTTAAAATTCCAGTAAGATAATTCAGATGAAAAGTCTTTTTGAGAAGGTAGTCAGATTCTTTACAATATCGTTTGACCCAATGTTAGAACAAAAACGATAGTCTATTTATTCTACATTCACCACAACGTAAAATTTTATAATTTCGAATTTAGTCAATGAAATTCGTCTACCAATTTTTTCTCTCTTCTATCGTTGCCCTTACTCCTAGAGACCATGTTAACTTTGCATTTAATAATTTTTCTGTCTGGATTTTGCTAGTGGTCAATTCCCTAATTAAGTTCAACACTGATTGGTAAAATCAGTTCTTTAAATACTTAGACCACGTCGAATTTTTCTTTTACCTTCCACCTTACTGATTACAAATCAGGTGTTCTAACTAATCCTCAATAAATAATGTTCTTGCTATTGACCTCTGTCTGTCTGTCAGAACCTTCACAATCGTAACTTCCCAGACTCAATTTACAGAAGATAAACTTTATATATAAATTCAAGGTTCTATTTGATGCAAGTTCATTATCACCTGACGTAGATATCTATACGTAGACACTGCATAATGCAAGAGATAATAAAGACGTCTCTAGTTAAAACAACCAATTGTTTGCAGATCCAAAAATGTGTAAGAAAGCAACAAGAGAGGTTGAGGTGGTGGAGACTGGGAAGAAGCAGTATGCAGCTTCTGTTGAAGAAGCGTTAACCATGACAGGTAAGTTCCCTAAGACCATAAAATATAATTTAAAATCAATAAAGAATTTGAATTTGACTTTACAGCTCTCTACCCTACCCACATTAGTTTAGTAGTTCAGCAATTTTGTTGAATGTCGATTCAATGGTTCTATTTACTCTATTTGAAAGATATATACTAGTACCATTACATCTCTAATCAAAATTGATCCTTGAATCCTTCTTTTCAGGTTTTGGAAAGTACAACTTTGGATTACTACTGGTATGCAGTTGGACGCTTCAGGCTATGGGTATGGACATGTTTGGCAGCAGCTTTGTGATAGCTGCTGCTCACTGCGATCTTGAACTGACTTTGCAACAAAGAGCTTTACTTACTGCCATGCCATTACTTGGTAAGTTATCTTTATACTTTATAGCGATTAAACTGTCAAACACCAAGCGGTCACCGGTGACCGCAACCTATTGTTCTATAATTGTGTCTACAAAACCGGTACTCGACGAGTTAAATTCTACATTAGCAAATTGTTCGCTATTATCAAGTACTTTTTCTTCAGTTTCTCATTGTTATAACTCTTTCACTTTACTTTAATAATCACGACAGCCAACAATAATTATAATGTCAAATAAAATAAAGTGAGCATTTTCCAATTTGGTCCTTTAAACTTACATTTGGTCCTTTGAGTCTCTAAGGTTTTGTAAGTGAAATCATGCCTCTTACGATTGTTCTCTATACTTTCAGGTGTGGTAGCAGGAGCTCAATTATGGGGTTACGTGTCAGATACTAAAGGAAGAAGGCTAACACTGGTACTGTCTATGTCAGTAGGCTTCGTGTTTGCAGCGCTCAGCAGTCTATCTCCAAACTGGCAGACTATGGCGGTTCTCAAATTGATTTCTTCTATTTTGTAAGTATTTATTCTATTTTTATCACTCTAAAAATATTAATCATTAAAATTGAGTAAAAACAATCCACCATATATCTTTAACTTCCTAGATTATAAAAGTTTCCTTTCCGTTTCCTTTTGTTGAGTATGTCGAAGGAAATTAATGGTTTTCATCTTCGAAAACTTTTCTTTCATAGATTCTTATTGAGATAAGCAAAGCAATTTTCACCAACAAGATGACTAGCTAAACAAACAAAATTGTAACGCCATCACCTATGGTTGTCCAAATATTGTTCACATTCGAATCTCATTTTCCCACGTTATCTGGAGCATGTGACCAAATAAGAATACGTTTTAGATAACACATACAAAAATAGAGGCAAATAATACCTTTAAATAACATTAGTCGTGGGCAATGGAAAATTACCAAACTTTACCTGATATGATTAACAATTAATGATGACAAAGAATTGTAAAACTTTCCATCTTAATTTTTGGTCCTTATGGTCATATAGTACAGTTATAAGAAGTTGACTTGAGAAGGATAGATAAAAATTTTGGGTAACAAACTACCTTAAGATACATGATTCCATAAATATAAACACTGTCTAGTATACCTTCTTGATCCCTTGAAAATACCGTTAAAAAATCACAACCCGTCAATGATATATAGATGACACAAAGCAAACACGAGTGACGACATTCGTATCGTGATCGTGAAAATTTACATCATGGAAGTAGCGTTAGTTATCTTATTATGCAAAGTTTTCCGAGTAAGTATTTGTACGATGATAATAAAACCCCCTGGCGAGACAAAGACAAGATAACTACTAAATAAACTTTCTCAGTTCTATAATAAGAATGTCAATATGTTGTTGGTGGCGCGATTTCTATTTACTTTTCTTTGTATGGGGATACTGACCTACCGGAACTGGATTAATTTTTCAACTTGGGTCTTTTACGACTTACAATCATTGCTTAAAGAAGACCTATTGCGGTGCGTTACAAAGCTAAAGATTAGATGAATGTTGATGACACCAATTAACTTTCGTACTTTTATATTCATATTTATGTGATAAAGTCAAGAATCTACTTATGAGTTTTGGTCCTTTGTCCCCAGCACTTCAGCCAGTAACTCAGGAGCATACACACTGTTGGGAGAGAGTTGTTCTGAACGCGCTCGTGGACGCGCCATGTTGATGTGCTCCTGCGCTCTCATGTGTTCACAGGCTACTGTTGCAGGTAAATTACCACTTTATAACAGCTAAATGTACTTCATAACATAACTGGTGATAAAGGAATATTATATTTAATAATACTTGATATTATATCTAAATATTGTAAGATTTTCACTTTTACTAACGATAAAGTTTTACTTTTTCACAGTGATGGCTTACCCAATCCTACCCCTGGACTTTGCGTATCACATCGACTTCCTTGGCGTGGTGTACCGACCCTGGCGTCTACTAGCCTTCATCATGGCTTTGCCCTGTGCGTTCACCGCCTGTCTACTGCAGCTCTTCTACGAGAGCCCCAAGTTCCTCGCTACTCACGGACGTTATGAAGAGGCTTTGCAAGTCCTGAAGAATATTTATGCTACTAACACTGGCAAGGATGCTGATAGCTTCCCAGTAAGTAGACTTTAGAAAGTTCAATATGATTAAAGTATTAGATTACTTTAAAAATATCAGAATTATTTTGTACTTATGTCAATATTTTACAATAATTTCTTCTTGGTCCTTTGGTCCTCATTCAAATTGTTATAATTAGACACTTGTTACGAATACAAAAGGTTTTAATCAATCCCAATCTTCTTCCAGGTTCAAAAGCTTCAAGAAGATACTGAGAATAAGACTACTGAAGTTAAAGAATCATTCTTAAAATCGGTGTGGCAGCAAACAGTACCGCTGTTTAAGGCACCCCTGCTGAAGGAGACCCTCAGGCTTTTCTACCTCGTCGCTGTTATTTATATGACGTAAGTATTGGAGAATGAACTTTATGGTCTTCTCTTTACACTTCACTTTACTCTATCAGATCTAGGTTTTGAGATCTTGGAATGTGCCTATGTTTGTTTACCATTACCTATTTTAATTCCAGTGGCAGCGGCTTCATCCTCTGGTTGCCTTACATCATGAACAACCTGTTCTTCGTGTTGGAGTCTGGTGGCGGTGAGGGCATGAACCTCTGCGCTATCATTGAGTACCCGTCAGCTGCTGGCTATACTACTGGAAACATAACGGTAAGAGTAACTGTAACCATATTTAAACTTATCATTATTAAATACTTCGATATTATACAAGTTTGTTTAGTTTTAAATATCGCGAAATAAAAGTACACTTTGGAATTTTAAAACCTTTATTCACAATAATACATAATATATATATAATAAATGTTCACAATAATATATAATAAATAATCCTTTTTCAGGCTGTAGAAGTATGTGACGACACGATCCAGGACACTACATTATTCTCCGCAATGACGTATGGTGCCATGGCGAGCTGTTCCAACGTGGTCCTTTCTCTAACATGTGGGAGTCGCAAGCGTATGGCCATGATCTGCATCCTAGCGATGTCAGCCATCGCCGCCGTCTTGCAAAATGTGGTAGCTGTTCCATTGGCTGGAGGAATCTTCTTCTTCTTTTTCCTCATGTGCGCACTCTCCATGGGCATCTTGAGCGTGTACTTCGTAGAGCTTTACCCGACTTCTTTAAGGTGAGTATCAAAAAATGTGATAGATTAATGAAGTTTGTTAAAAAAAAAATAGAAAAATGTAAATGATACATTAAACTGACTTCAAACATGACTGACAAGAACAAATAGGGTTCAAAATATTAATGCTAGTTATTTCATAACTTTCGACTACAAAACTGCCCTCAGTCAAAATTAATTCAATGCATAAGCAACGTATAATCCAACATTTAGTTGCTACGCCGACTCTTTAGGCATAGTTATATAAGCTCATAATATTACGCGCGTGCCAGGCATATTAATCGATTAAAAAAAACAAATAAAGAATATTACAAATAAAAACACATGTTCAATATCTTCGATTAATAATTTCGTTCGTCATCATTAAATGACAAAAAATACGAAGATTATTGAATTATGATAGTCACTGTAAAAGACCTTACGCATTGGATCTGAATTGTAACCGTTATAAAATTTCTTTATTTTCTAAATGTATTATTTACCATAAAGAACCTATCCCAAAGAGTATAATAAGTATAGAGGAAGAGCCTTAATCAAATGCTTTGAAAGCTTTATGAGTGGAACTTTAGGGACTCGAATGAATTAAAAGAATCGTTGACTTGAGAAATATTGTTTCCTATACCGAGTGTCTGGATAAACTTAGACATGTTTTTACTTGACTTTTTGGTTATTACATACTCAAAAGTTATGTCAACTTTTACATTCATAGACACTTTATTTTTATACTACTTAATACATACATCAGGTACATTCAACATAAACTATTTTATTACAGAGGTATGGTATCCTGTCTATCAGTGATGCTGGGCAGGTCGAGCGCCTTCCTCGGAGTGAACGTGATAGGTGCCCTCATCTCGAACAGCTGTGAGGCCACCTTCTACGGATGGTCCCTCTTATTATTTAGTAAGTTGTTTTTTACTATTTCTTTATTTAATCATCGTCATTTAGGCATTTTCTTTTTTATTAGTATTTCACATTGGCTTCTCCAAAAGTATGCCACTACTGAACTCCACAAGGTAGACTAACTTCGCCACTTTACCTTTTTAGACTTTGTATCTTCTAATGATAAAATTGCACAAAACAAATAATTCTTATGTAATATGTCAATATCGTATCTAAGTCATAAATAACTTGATTACAGATAATAGTAAAATTATAAGTTACCTTATATATTTTATATTTTATGGTGTTTTTCTTTATGGTATCGATGATAACGTCTATTCAGCTCTGCTTTAAGTATTAGTATAGCACCCCCTCAGACTCTGAGTATTCAAAGGTCGTATAATTTTTATCGGAAGAATAAAAACAGTAATAAACTTTTTAGAAGCGGTTTTTACTTGTAGATCAAGTCAAGATATGTTTAATTTCGTCAAACCTATCATACAACCGAAGTGATAGCTGGCATATGGTTGTTGAACGTTCAGAAACCGGATGACCGGTTTGTGACGCCAATTAACATTTACAATTAAAGACACGCCTTAATTGAAATCTAGACTGTCTATCTAATTTATGATGATCACAAACCAATGACTAGCAAATTATTTATCATCAGTTGATTAATGATAATACAAATGATCTCTGAACATTATTAATCATTACTAAAGGACTTAATTTTTTATTATTTTACTAAGGCGGTCATCAGAATTATGGAAATTGTTTGGAAAAACCAGATGCTATCTATCTATCTACCTACTTAAATACATGTCATCCTTACAATGTTAGTGAATACAGCTTTAATCAAATGTTCATCTTCTGATATTGATTTGCAAACTCCAACTCGACTCCCAAGCGTAGAGCAAAACTCTTTGGTAGTGGACGCCCATAATCGAATAACTGTTGATGTACGTGTGTGATGTTGAAGAACTATTATTAACGTTTCTTTTCTACTCTTTACAGGTGCAATAGTAGTGGCATGGTTCCTGCCCAAAGATAAAGCACCTAAGAAGTAAAGATTCAACCATCTAACTGGATCTACTGAAGACTGAACTAAATCTACTCTTACTTGTACATAATGAATGAATGAAATGAACGATGTATGTTAAATGGTACTGACTGACTGAACATATTATTAAAATATAGTTGTTATGTTTATATTTGCTACAAAACAATAATATTTTGTAATCGTTAGTGCCATAAAGTTTATAGTTTATGATTGTTAAGGGATTAATGTAATCTTTGTTATCTGTGGCTTGTGATTCCCGCGCTTTTGTCACAAGTTTTATAGGTACAGGGTCAAGACTGCCATCTTACGGACATTTGAAAATTACGTTTTCTTTTCTTGGTCCATTTATTGTTTTTAAATTAATAACGTACCTGACACGGCCAATTTAGTTAGTATATAATATTAAGAACATTTTGTTAAGTATAGTTAGTAATATTTTCTCATAGTTATAGTACCTAATTAAGATAAGTTAATGTATAAAAATGTTTTCTTAAATAAACGTAGTTTAAAATACATTTTGTTTTTTTCCACATATTTAATGCATATAAAATAATATACAAGCTGTTGTTTTAAAGCCGCGTCATTTTCTAGGAGGTAACTCGGCTATCGATCTGAGTCCGAATCAATAAAAAATGTAGGTAAATATTTTTCATTTTTAACTAGCTTTATTTCGCGGCTCAACACACACAAACTCAAACACGTAATTGATATTATTTTTATTCCATAAAATTCCAATAAGAAACATGGCTGTCGCTTATTTTGAAATACTGTCGAACTTAAACGATTTATTATAGCCGTATTTTTAACTATTGGTGCGAAACTTTCTCTTACATTGAACCTGTATGACTTCTGTGACATGCCCCCGAGAAATGCCACGGTTTCAAAACTACACCTTGTATAATATGTTTTACACTTCTTAAATTATTTTTTTCATAAAATTGACCGACAAAGCATTGTTAGCAGCGTTAAGAAAACAACTATTTTCTTTTTCTTCATTTAAGTACAACACCCCTCTCTGCAGAGTACAAAAAAAGAAAAAAATACTTTAGCCTGTGCTACTAATTAACATTGGCCCGTAGATTCAATTACTTATTTAATATTGACGATGTCATACTTATAATTTCTAATTATATGAAATTGCATTGAGCAAGCGTGGTGATCTTTTCCGTGTGAGAACAGGCTTTTAGTCAGCAGTGACCACTTATAAGCTGTATGATCGTATTATTTATTTCTATACCTACTGTTCTATTATTTATTTCTAAACTGGAACTAGCTTGTTTAGCTAATGGCTACGTTCATTTTTAATATATATACTAAAGGTATGTTTTTTTTCTTTTTTAATTAACAGCGTTGCTAGCTGTTGTTAGTCAGGACCTACTAATTTCTACAAAGGCCCTTCTATAATATAAGATGTTTAGATTTAATTTTTAGATTTGAATTAAAAATACCACTAATAAAATAACATACATTCGTTGACACAGGCAAAGATACGAATTCACAACAATTTTGGTTGTTGACGTACGAGTATAAGATTCAGATTCCAATAATCTATCTTTTCCTCCTTTACGCATGTAATTATCGGATTATAGGTACAATACCAATTATTTAAATCACGTCATAGATTTATATCTATTATGATCGAATTACTGCTGCTATCGTAACTAAATATTCTCATACTTAAGAAATCAGTATCAGGTTTAAAAACTACCTAATTGATATTCTAATCAAATCTCTATTAATTCTATGTACCTGTCTATCTATTTACCTACTCGTAATGTTCATTATAAGATGTTAAGTGACTTACCTTAACTAGTTTTCAAATTCAAATCATTTATTACGAATATAGGTCAAGCGTAAATGTTACAGTAGTTAATATAAAATAATTTGATCAGCGACATCTGCCATTTAGCATGCAATATTGTGAAAATTACAATTACTCTTATTATTTATTACATAATTTAAATTAGTACCTATAGTACACACTTGTTTCACTTCGGAGAAGAGCCACTAGCCTTTTTTGCATTTTATCGAACCCTTTAACCAATTATATTCCTTATGCAGCAAAATGCTCTTATTTTAAAGGTGAGTAATTAAATTGCCTTTTATACGACATATCACATACGTTACCACTTATTAAAATACTTGTAAGAGAACATATTTAACAAGAAATGAAAATGAGAAATCTTTACTACTTAGCTCCGTTATTTTGCTCAATGGTAGTTCGGTTTTCACCTCCGTGTCTCGGCAAGCACGTACAGCTTAGGTCAATAGTAGGTACAGCGTAGGCGTTGGTCCTGCGCCTGAGCTCTCTCCGGTCGCATCGGTCTGCCGTCCTACCGGGTTCATAGAGTGATGAACAGAGAGCGCACCTGTTTGCGCACACACTTGTGCACTATAATACCTTTTTTTATAGCATAAGCCGGTAAACGAGCAGACGGATCACCTGATGGTAAGCAATCGGCGCCGCCCATGAACACTCGAAACACCAAGGCGTTACAAGTGCGTTACCGGCCTTTTGGGAATTGGGAATTTGAGGATTGTGGAGGATTTGGGGATTCGGGAGACGGGGACTAGGGAGGGGGGTAATTGGGCATCCGGTAACCTCACTCCCACGACGAAACACAACGGAAGCGTTGTTTCACGTCGGTTTTCTGTGAGACCGTGGTATCACTCCGGTCGAGCCGGCCCATTCGTGCCGAAGCATGGCTCTCCCACACTTAGGACCTCCTGTTTTGTGAACTTGCCACCACGATCCAAATCGATCAGGAAGGTCTTTGACCATTGATCATGTTAGATTTAAGTTATTAAGCATAATATCGGGAATAGGGGTAAACAAACTGATGGAACACCTGACGAAAACTGATAAGTATCCTCAGAAAATTACAAGTGGATTGCCAATTTTTACTATTCTGTGACTGTAGGACTATTAAATAATCATGGGATATTGTATAACTGACTAGAGAAGGCTTTGTAAGAATACGAAGTCTAAGTACGTGTACTTACTTCTACAATACCCCAAAAAAAGAGTACATCAGAAAATGATATCTGTTATCAGTAATCAGAATATGAGTTAACAAACTTTCTTCAATGCACATTTATTTACAGCTACCGATAAATGTTATGTTATAAAATTGTAATCATTTTAGATATTTTTTCAGATATAATTTGTGTTTGAACAAGTAAGTTACCTATCTACTCTAATATGATATCTAGAACAAACATTTGAAACAAATGTTGCTCGAAAGGGTAGGCAGAGGTGCACATTACGGCACTTAATGCCACTGCACAATTTAACACCCACTTTTTGTTTATGTTAAGTCCCATATAATAGGGGGTGAGCCTAGTGCCATATACCGGACACAATTCCAGATTCCGTGCTACTACTGAGAATTTTTAAAAACCCGGTATTAATTGTCCAACCTGGGAATCGAAACCACTTGCCCGGCAGTCGCACTTGCGACCACTCGGCCAACGAGGCAGTCACTAAGGACTTACATGACCTAGGTACCTAGGCATTTACCTATCTATATAGATATTATATTCCCTTTAATAACAGATCACTAACCATTAGCAGATTAGATTAAGTTATTATTTAACCACTGATAATAGGTACAAAATTATCACCAGAAACGTACATACATACATATAAAGTATATAAGAAACACGTGAACACGAGATTTTATCACATTATCTACCCATGTATGTCTGTACATACGTATTACGTAGTTTATTTGCGAACAACTTTGTCTTAATTAAGAACTATTTTATTTAGGTATCACTAGCTACTTCATTGTTTCACCCGCTTGCTCAGCGCCTATTGATCGGAGCGTGATGTTCTATAGCCTTACTCGATAAATAGGCTATCCAACATAAAAAGAATTATACAAATCGAATCAGTAGTTCCTGAGATTAGCGCGTTCAAACAAACAAACAAACAAACAAGCAAACAAACAGTCTACAGCTTTAGAGAGAAGATAAGGTTTCGCCAATAGTTTGCTTCTATTACGGTAATATTTGAAAGGTGTATCGTATAATGTCATTCGATTTAGGGTCAATCAAAACAAGTTTCAACGGACTAGGCTCCAAAAGGTTTCGCCTTGAGCTTAGGACGTATTTATAAGTATTTAAAGTAAGAAGGTATACCTACCGTATACTCAGTTACTAATGATTACGTATATATACTATATTATATTATAACTATCGTGAGATATACTAAGTTAATTACTATGTTTTCTGCTTACTCACGTAATTATTTAACTGGGAACTCGACTGGTTTCGAGCCATGTTTGAGGCTTATATGTATGAGCAACATTCCACGACCCGCGACGCGGCGGTTGTCGCGAATATTGTTCAAAAAACATATTAATTAATTAGGTGGATAAATAAAAATATAGCACATGATCAATATTTTTATATTTCAGTTCAAATTGAAGGGCTTGTGAGGAAATGATGCACAATTTATTTTAACACCCATTTTTAACCAATTTGTAGCTTCTTCTTCTTCATTTCTTCAACTGAAGATCGTCCCTGCATATGGAATCCGTCTCTAAGGTCGTTCGCATAGCCCCCATAGTTTCTTTTCCCTAACTCCTCTATGAATTCTTCTATGATTTAGGTGTTAAGTTTTAGGTCATGTAATAGAAAGAACTAGAGACCTATCGGGACACAAGTCACAACCAACGAAACAGTGCTATAAGTGCCTAATGTAATTAAACTTCACATAAAAAACTATAATATAAAAACCTGATTTTCTAGTAGTTAAGTAGAAGCCATTAATAAATCGTTTAAATCCACAGCAACGAGAATTACGAAACCACAATAAGTAATTGAACAAGAAATCGCAGTGCGCCGTGCGTGCTGATTCCAAACCTTGAGTATAATGCAAACTTTCTGAACGCGAGTCGTCAAATAACTAACCGTATATGAAGAATATCTTGAAAAATAGCGACCAATCACAATCTTATAAAGCCGAACCCGCAACTTTCACCGCAATTTTTAAAAAATAAAAGTAGCCTATGTTACTCCTTAGTATATCAGCTACAGCTGCCAATAGTCCCGTTAAATACGGTCCAGCCATTTCAGAGATTAGCCAGTACAAACAAACAGACAGACAAAAATAGTTAGAAGTGTTATGTTGGTATATGTAGCTGTCGTAAGTATATTATTTATAATATTACAAAGAGACGCTACAGTTTGTTTTATCTGTAAGTATAGATATTTACAGCTTACTCACATAACTTTTTGACAAAGTAACACGACTGGTTTCAGGTCGTCTTGGGGCTCATACTATGAGGATTGTTGTCTTGGCAATAACGAACACAACAGAAAAGGAGTTGTCCAATTCAGTTCAGTCGTTCGGAAGTCATGCACTTAGATAGGTAGGTAGCTATAGTTACGGGTATTTCGTCGAAGATATTTTTTTATTTATATAGATAGATAAATGGATCTTACCAATAAAACAATAGTAGTAAAGTATCTTTTATAACTCAACTCAACACGTGACTGCTTATTTATTTACACCCACTGACAAGATTGTAAAGTTGTAAATCCTTATTTTTCTTTAGTCCTACCTGTACAACCCGGCTTTACTTGGGTGCTTTGCCTTAGTGGTCCTACAGCCTAAGTACATAGTTTACGGAAATCTCGTTGATGTTAAAATAATAGTGTCAAAACTCCTTACTAAACTTTTTCTGACTACAGTGTGAACAACAAACATTCAAACATTGATTTTAACTGATTAATTGACAAATCAATTAGGCTACGTTGTTTCTAGAGGTATACTAACGCGAGTTACATTTTATTCTTGCTTTGATAAGAGGTCTTCTAAAAACGTTTTTGTACATTAATTGGTTACGTTGTAAACAGATAATAATAATAGCAAGCTAGTAAGGACTTTAGCACGTATCAATGTAGATAATTTTGCAAATTGGGCCCGTCGTATCGAAGTACGAAGATAATCTACACCACTAATATTAACTTCAATATCACTCGTTTTTAAAATGAAGCCCACAGAGGTCGCACGCAACGATGTCTAACAATATTTTTGTTAATTAATAAACCTGTATAATTTGTTTAAATATTTGATAGGTGAATTGTGTTTGTTTAATATTTTATTTGTGATCTCTTATTTAATAAAAAGTTAATTATTTAAAAATGGCGGATAAAAATGGTGGTTCAATTGAAAAACTATCGTTTGAGGCGGCCCTCGATAAAGTGGGTAAGTTCATGATTTATGAAATAATTATAAATTAGAATTTAAATATAGTAAGTAAGTAAGATTTCATCTTATTATAACAACTTCTGTTCTTAAAAGAGTTAACAAACGTGCTCGCGAATGATTAGGTAAAATAACACTCACTTTTCGCCAATTATAAAACTAAAAACCTATTCAAGCATCCCTTTAGAAGCACCATCAAACTATGAGCATTTTTAAATGGGACAAGCTTACTACATCCTCCCAAAACCGCTGCAACTCATGTGAGTCAGGATCTACAGTAGATACAACCATGAAAACACTTCAATGTTCCGAACATTGAAGTCCCCAGGGACACAAATAACTGTCTTGGCTCCCGCAACGAAGTGAATCAGAAGATATTATCTACAACAAGAGACATCATAATCGATGAGCATGCATGAAGGGGTTGATGAATGTAGATGAAACCAGAATCATGTCATTTGTCGTTCTATTGTCTCTGCCTACCCCAATAAGAAACATGCGTAACGATATGTGAATGTGTTAAGAACCGTAAACGATTAACCGCAGAGGTGCACATTTTGGCACTTAACTCGTTGAGTACCGTCATTATAGACACAATTATAGAACAATAGGTTGCGGTCACCGGTGACCGCTTGGTGTTTGACAGTTTAATGCCACTATATACAGTGTAACACACACATTCACTATTTATGTTATGAGTCCCATGTAATAGGGGGTGAGCCTATTGCCATATACCGGGCACATTTCCAGACTCCGTGCTACTACTGAGATTTTTAAAAACCCAGTTATACCGTAAATTTAAAATTATCATAATAATATTTACAATACAACATAAAACAACTGAAATATTGTAGTCATTACTTTTAAGATAATTCTTCCTAGTTACGCCTATTCTTAAGACAAACTCGTTAATTTTCCAGGTTTCGGTCTATACAGCTACATAATGACGAGCCTGGCAGGGCTGGCCATCATCTCTTTCGCCTGCATAGTCTATGCCAACACCATCATAGTCCCCACCAGCGCCTGCGAACTGGCCACCACGGGCAGTCAGCAGGGACTCCTGGCTGCTGGACCTGTTGTAGGCAAGTTGTGTCTTTAATTTGTGGCTGTAAGGTTTATTTTTGTTTGACTGTCTTTACGTTGTACTTAATGAGACGTTAGTTGTAAAATTAACCTACATGTTTTTTGTAATAGGTTTGATGTGTGGTAATTAATAATTATATATATATATATCTCTTGAACAACACCAATTACATTTGCAAGATCATATCTAAAGTGCAAAAGGTGCTCCATTTAAACAACAACGATCTGAGGTTTACAGGAATGCCCGGGGCGTTCTAGTAAACTAGTGAAAGTCAAAGTCAAAATAATTAATTTCAATAAGACCAGCAAGGCACTTTTGAACGTCAACAAAAAATTGGAAGTGAAGCTATTTGCTCACTCCAAGGTGTAGTTTCCTATGGAGAAGAACGAGTAAGAAACCCCCTAAGTTACTTTTTTGCAATCAGGTTTACAATATAATTTTCAGTTATCTACATAGTCTTGTTGGGTCAATTGTGTGAGAATAATGCAACTCCAAAATCCAGTCAAAGAGATCGATCGATCGATCAAGTGTATGAGACCCCTTATGAAACTATAGCGTGGAATGTCTACTGGGATATGTACTGACGTACGACGTTTAGAAAGTTGTAAGTGTCTTCGCTCAAGTAATTAGCATGCATTACTCAATTCCACAATATCTATAGACAGTAACATATTAATTATCGTACTTTAATCACATTTCCTGAGTTTTCTTCCTTCCATGGAAACAAAGAACCGGGCAAGTGCGTGTCTGTAAACTACCACTATTACATCACAAATACAATAAGGTACACGTACCCAAAGATACCATAATTTCTAAGTAAAATTACAAACATTCAGATATATTGACACCCTTTTTCCGGACGCTGATCAACGCAAATACATGATATCGGGGAACATACACATATATTGACCTGATTTCTGTCTAGATGCTGATCAACACAAGTAATGTAATCGGCGGTTGAATCTCTTGTGAAGAGTATTGCTAAAAGCATGTTTTTTACCTTTTTCTTCGATCTTGAATGACAACCGAGTCTCCTTATATGTCCTTTCCTAAATATTGGATGACGTCTAGTATTCGAAATTAAGCTACAGTTTGATTTTGACAGTCTATAAGCGGTCGGTCCACTTCACCCAATTGAAGGAACTTCGTGATGATTATCTGTATCAATATTAGCCAGTTCCGTAACAAATTCACGGTTGTCTCCGCAGGTTCGGTGTTGGGAGGTCTAACATGGGGTTACCTGGCAGACACACGTGGCAGACGTAAGATGCTGCTGGTGGCTCTGGTAGGAGCTGTGGTCTTCAACCTCATCGCCAGCATCTCAGTCAACTGGATCATGCTGCTTATCTTCCAGTTCATTGCTTCTCTTTTGTAAGTTTAATTATGCGGCTATTTTTTTAATATTGACACGACTAACACTAGCCAATGGATCGCCTGAGTGACTGATGGTACTTACATATAATTACCATAGGCTATAGACGTCGGCACCGAAGGACACAATAAGCCAACGCGTGGTCTCACAGAAATGGTCGTTAACGCATAATTATGTAACTCCTCCGGTGTTGGGGATGTTCATGGGCGGCGTCGATTGGCTGATACCATCAGGTGATCTTTATGCTCGTGTGCCAGCCCTTTCTTATAAAAAAGGGACAAACCTGTAGAAAATTTTGTTCGCCTGCCTGTACATTTTTACTACCTACGACTAAAGGCAATAAAATAAGTATGTTAATACCCGCAGGTATTAGTCAAAGAATTTCCTAAACATCAGTCATACAGGTATAGATTTATATTTTTATATACCTACCTCCGAAGTCCGAATGAGTAGGATAAGATAGCAAAACGTGTTACTGCTAAAATGATTAATTGGTTTACAATGAAATTACGTTTATTTTGTCAAAAATTATTTATAGGTTAAGATGAGTCAGATCAAGGTAACATGAAAAATAGATTAGTTAACACTTTTATCTGGAAGTTGTAAATCAGATCGGTTTTTGGTCTAATGAGTAATTACTTAGGTACAAAGATTGTGATTGTACTCGCTCCTACAAACATAACGAAGCATCAGCCTTTCAACTGTCCCCGAAAGATATAGGCAGTTCTTATGTGCTTTTTCTTTCACTTTGTATTCAAAACAGCGCTTTGTATAACATGAAAATCAGATTCAACACATTTTGTTACTTCTCCTATATTAATATCATCTGATTTATTTCGCTACTCGATACTAAACCGTTCTTCATGTCCCTGGGACGCGGTGGACATAAGTGTTTCGCTGTTTTATGATTGTTTCTACTGTAGATCCTGGCTTACAGGAGTCGCAACGGTTTCGGGAGATAGTAGCGGGCTTGTCCCATAAAAGTATTGTGTTACTCTTCAAAGCTCAGATAAAGCATATATATTCAGTAGTACAGTTATATTATTCACTTTGAAAATTATATTACAGTGGGTCCGGGATGTACTCGATGTCAATGTCACTGCTCAGTGAGAGTGTCCCTATGGCCAAGAGGAACCTCGTCGTGCTACTGGTCTCCAGCATCTTCCTGCTGTCTCAGGGTATCATGGCAGGTAAGGACAGCGACGAACATTTTGAATTTATCCCGAAATGACTGTAACATAATTTCTTTTCACTTGACTATGTGTAAATATGACTAATACACAATTGATTTCATACATACATAACTTCACGCCTGTCTCCCCTGGGTGTAGGCAGAGACTATGGAACGCCAATTACTACGATTCCTACATACCTCTTTCGCTTCATCAACAGTCATTGGATATGAATGGGGCCGTCGGTAGAGGGCGCCCTAGACGGACAACAGTGACCAGATTGGCGATATATTAAAGAAGAGTCAAATTAAAAGTACCCTTAACCGACGAGCATACATGAAAAGATTGATTTCATACATTACAATTTAAAACACAACTAACAACTTGTAAAGATAAAGTATTATCCCTGTCCAAATAAAGGCATGCCCAGTGCAAGGTTTGTCCAAATTGACGGTTTGTCATATCAGTATTGTGTGCAACTTCCTGTTATTCACAAATTGCATGGAGAAAATAATCTCTGTACAGAATCAATATTTATTGTTGTATAATACCAAATTACTGGGCCCCAATTACTAGGCTCACTGTATGACTGTACTACACCTAATACTATTTGTATTTTTTTTAAATCGCCTGCCTGTAACAATTGCGTTAAAACCTTTAACCTTTTCCAGTATTGGCGATACCAATCATCCCCCTGAGCTTCTCCCACTACCTGGAAGCTCTGGACATCTACTGGAACTCCTGGCGAACATTGCTGGTGGTATACGCAGTACCTAGCGTCCTCACCATCATCTTCATATCTCTCATGAAAGAGAGCCCTAAGTTCGTGTTCATCAAAGGAGATGAACCTAGGGCTTTGGAGATTTTAAGGACTATCCACAGAGTTAATCATCTGAGGTCTAAGGAGGAATTTGAGGTGAGAAATGCTGACATTATTTATGACATTGGTAAGATTAAGCTTCAATTTATAAGAGATATCGACCTTAGTATGAGCAGTGGGTGTTCTTTTTCTATCGATTTAATATTTTTCGTTAACATTCGATTGTATGTACATTATTGTACATGTGCCGACGTATATTCTTTGTACCAGGTCCAAGGACTGATCATGGAAGAGAACACAGAATCCAGTGGTTCCGCCAAGGACCAGATAGTGCCGCTATTTAAACAGCCACTCCTGAAATACACCTTCCTTGTGATCATACTGTATACCTTCCAACAGTTAGTACCTTCATTTTAATATATTTGGGAATAGGCATAATTATAAGAATAGGCAAAAGTGTGGAAGAACTATGCTTCGGCACGAACGTGCCGGCTTCGACCGAAGTGATGCCACGGCTTTACACAAAACCGACGTGAAACAACGCTTACGTTGTATTTTGTCGCTAAATCTCCCCAATCCCCCAATCTCCTACAATACTTAAATTCCCAATTCCCAAAAGGCCGGTAACGCACTTGTAACACCTCTGGCGTATCAGGTGTCCATGGGCGACGTCGATTGTTTGCCATCGAGTGATCCGTCTGCAGGTTTACCGGAATAGTTATAGATAACGAAAGTTGTTACTGGTAGACGACTAATTTTTATTTTAATGTCCGTCTGGTAGATTATTTAAAAACATTAGACACGTATTTTTTATTTTCTTACGGAAACGAATAGTTTCGAAGATATATTGATTTGAAATGTCGCGTGACGTCACTTCTCAGTACATTTTATACTAAGAAATGACGTTTTAGCCCCCACTCCTAAACTTTGATTCGTTTTATCTAAGTATTGTTTTATTATACAACAAAATAAAAAAATACGTGTCTAATATTTTTTTATTACCTAAGTTACGGACTAATTATATTTTTAATTTTCATACCCTGTCATCATCCCCATT